AAAAAAAATTACATATGAGAGTGAAAGATCATTAAAGAACATCTTGAAGGGGGAGAGGGGGTCAATAAATTACCAGCCCCCAAAGAACTTTGATCTAGGAGCCTCGCCACGTTTTTTTGAGTGGTGGGGGGCGGGGAGGGGGGTTTGGCTGGCTGGAAACAGACTGTTTCCAAAATGTTTCCAAAACATTTCATTGCTAAGAGGTGGAGGTGAGAAACCTTTTTTTGTTTTGATTTATTTCTTTACTGAAGGGAAAGGGAGGATCCAGAGGTAGATAAGTCAGATAAACTAGGGCAGCTGAAGCACCCCTCCATTTTTCTCCCTTCTTCATCTCTCCTGAACATTTTTATCCTCAGGGTTCTATACCTGCTGTTCCCTCTGCCACTATCTGGTTCCTTCCAAAGTTGAATATCACCTTCTCAGAAAAGCTTTCCCAGCCCACCACTCTATTACAGATGCTTCGCTTTATATTCTTTACAGGGCTTATCACCACTGGACAGATTCTTATGTTTTTTTTTTTTGTTGTTGTTGTTTGTTTTTGCTAGTTCATTGGCTGCCTCCTTCCATGAGCAATATCAAGAACAGAAGGGCAATAACCACATCTGCTCCTTCCCAAAGAATTTAAAGCTACTAAATCAGGGAACCTTATTCCTTAAAACTATTAACATGATGTAGCAACGAGAAATTAGAGTAAATTTGGAGCCACTCCTATGGCTTACTTAGTTCAAACCCAAGCGCAGGTAAACCGAGTTTCTGGGAACTGATTGACTATCCTGGTTTCTGAGAGGCTATGCCTCATATTTCTACACTCTCCCTAAATCAGAATCAATCCTGAAGCTGGGGTCCTTTGGCCTCCTCACCCGGACATATGCTTCTCAGACCCAAATGTCCTAAGTGTTTCCAAGAGCACCCTAAGGGCAGACCTGCATCCTGCCACCTTTGCTACCTCTGGCGCCTGCTGAGCTCAGGGTCTGGCGCCCGACCTGTGACCAGCCATGGGTGATGAATTGCGCTGTATGGGGGTTATGGCAGTGTCAGCCCCTCTTGGAAGAGCCGGCTATGCTTTGGAGCTGCCAACCCTGCACACCCCTGCTGAGTTCCCCCTTTCCTTCAGGCCCTAGGATCCACCTTAAGCATAAGGTCAGGAGGGCACTGGCTTCCTTCTGGTTCATTAAGGGGTCAGCTCTGGCCTGAGAGGCAACTTCCCCAGCTCACCAGTCATGTTCAGCTGCCCAGGCCTGTGGGAAGATGGGTAGCAGGTTGAAGTGGGCTAGGGATTCCTATGAAAAGCCAAAGGGGCTAAGTTCAGAGGGTGAAGCAGTGGGGTTAAGTGATGGGGTAGAGGAAGCACTGGCGGGGGAGTCCACAAACCCATTGCTGGCTCCTTGGGGAGTCTGGTTCTTTCCTCCTTAGCCCATCCTCTGTAACAGAGAGGATATTGAAGTAGTAAACCAGGAGATTTCTGCAGCTAGCTATGGGGGAGATCATTCAAAGCCGTCTCCAGAACTAGGCTCAGAAAGGAAGCCCGTCCAGTGAAGGACTGGTGCTGTCCACCTTCTGAATATGCTCCGGGGTGGGTCCTTCAGGTAGGTCCTTTAAGTGCCTCCCCCACCCTCCACCTGGTGCCTTCCCACCAAGGAGCAGCAGCTCAGCTAAGCCCTAGCCTCCTTGCTCAACCGCTGGCAGGAAATTTTATTTCTTGGCCTTCCTGTTTTGGGTACAAATATCCCAAACCTCTCTGATTATATCTCAGCCTCCCATGAGGGGATTATGTCTCAATCTCCCATGAACCATCTTTAGAGACATCTCGATATGCCTATTCTACCCTGGAAAGATTAAATGCGTTCTTGAAGTAGGAATTTTTCTTTTAATAAGTCTCCAGCAGAATCCGGTGATGTTGAGCTGTTCAGGGACCTGGAAGCGCACCCAGTTCTGAGTTTCCGCGAGATTAGACGGGCAGAAAGACCAAGTCGCATGAAACCGGAGGCCCGCTACCTTCTGTTGGGCTCCCAAGGCCCTAAATTAATTCAGGAATGGCCCCTGGCGATTTGGCTTTCTCGAAAGTATTGTAGTTCCCACCATGTGCGCCTGGTCTCTGTGCAACCCCCGCTGCGGGCCGGCGATCCACGTACTCTCTACGGTGCTTTGACGCGATGACTGTGGCATGATTCTTACTCGCTAAAGTCCAGCACCGAGCCACGTTCGGTGAAGGTTTGTTGAACTAGTTAGTGACCTGGTGAATGCGCGCGGGATGTAGGGCGCAGCAGCCACTGGGCAAGCCAAGTCTCGCAGCGCCACCGCTCAGAGGTGTAGCTCATTACCTGGGGCCGGAGGCGCCAGCGGGTGGAAGAAGAGCCGAAGCCCGTCCACCGGGTGCACGATGGGCACCGTCTGCATGGCCGGGAAGGCAGACGTGGCCAGTTCCCAGCGAGCGGTGCGCACCAGCTCCACAGCTAGTAGCTGCAATACTGCCTGTGCCAGCTCCTGGCCAAGACAGCTGCGCGCTCCGCCACCGAAAGGGATGTAATGAAAGCGGCTAGAGGTGCCCGGAGCATCTTCTCGCGCTGCGCTAAAGCGCTCCGGGTCAAAGCCTTCCGGCGGGCTACGGTACACAGCTGCCGTCTCGTGCGTGTCCCGGATACTGTACATCACGCTCCAGCCTTTGGGGATCTGGTAGCCCTGTAAGGAGGCGAGGCGCACAACCTGACCACAAAACACCTGGAAACAGGGCCGAAAAGACCCTCCACCCCCATGCACCACGCTATACCGGCATGTGAAACCCGGCAGGAAGGCGTCATTCTGGGCACCAGAATAATCTTCCTTCCAGCCTCAGCTCTTTCATTAGGAAGCTGTATGATCTTGGGCTAGACATTCAATCTGCGCCTCAGTTTCTTACTTGATAAAATGAGAACTGAAATGCCCATTTCGTTGTAAAGATTCGAAAAGGGGTCTGACACATACTAGTGTTCAGTAAATATGTGTTATTATATAGTAAATCTATCGTTTATATTCCCTTGTTTTGTCTTTCTTTTTTCTTCTGACATTAGATCAGACGACTTACATTCCATTCTGCACCTACCAGCTGCCTGAAACCCCAACACAAAGGGCAGGGACCCCCATTCCTATAGGTCTATTTAATTATAACTGTTCTTTTCATTTAACTGAAAACTTC